ATTGTTGTTAATATTTTAAGCAGTGTTCACTTTTTTAGAAAACTTCATTAAAAATAAATCACTCGAAGTGGTTTCTTCTTTTTTTTTGAGTTGGTGTCTCACTCCTTGCCCAGGCTGGAGTGCAGTGGCACACTCATGGCCACCCCAGTGTCGATCTGCAGGGCTCTGGTGATCCTTCTGCCTCAGCCTTCCAAGTAGCTGGAACTACAGGCACATGCTACCATACCTGGTCTAATTTTTTTTTTTTTAATTATAGAGATAAGTTCTTGCCAAGTTGCCCAGGCTAGTCTCGAACCCATGGGCTCAGGCAATCTACTCACCTTGGCCTCCCAAAGTGCTGGGATTAGGCTGAACCACCAAGCCCAGCCCAAAGTGATTTATTCTTAAGTGTGATTTTAATATATTCAGATGTCAAATATTTTCCTCCTAACTAGAAACATGTCCTCTTTTATAGCATGAGTCAAAAAGGAAATAAGAGTCACTTAATGTAAGTGGTTTCTTCAGCAAATTTTATCAGAAATTACATTTTTCAAACAGGAGGTATTGTTGAGGCTTACATTTATTTAGAACTTTCTGGGGAAAGTATTGATAAGGGAAATAAACTGTGATGGTCTAGATGAATTGATTAAACTGAATGCCTAAAGCTCTAAAGGTTCTCTCCCCACCCTCCCATAACAGCAACAGCCATATCATGAAACTATGATGTTATTTACCTTAATTAGCATAGCAATTTGCCTCACATTTTCAAAAAGTGCTAATAGGTGTTAACTCAAAATAGATTAAAATACCAGACAAATTGCTACTACCTTAAAAAGTGTTATAATAATTTTTAAAATGTAAATTATGGCTATGCAGTATTTGGAGAGAACTATAAAATCTAGTCTTATAGTAAAAAGAAAATCTTGTGGTGCATTCTTTTTTCCTTTAATCACAGTAATTTCTTCAAATGACACTGCAGCATATTTCTTTAGGAAGATACGTTGCATTTTTCAAATCTCATATGCAATATAGGAGTTACCATTGATAGTTTTCAGCAAGAAGAAAAGAAATTGAATACAGAAAACCAGGCATCACAGGGAAATTTTTAAAACCCTTCATCTTCATGTTCCCTTTTTGTATTACATATATTTTATGACTTGGAACAGAGGAAGGTTCTTTTCATTCTAGCAAGAGGAGTTGTGCATGACAAAATGTCTGCAGAAACGTGTATATAGGCATAACAATTTAAAAGGATTTGGACTCTGCTGCTGTCTTTCACTGAATCCTTCTCTATGGCACTGAAGCACTTATGGTGTCTATACAAAGAAGAGGTGAGCATAATTTGTACTTTGAGGAGTAAATGAACATAACCTTAAGTATAAAATTTGTCATACTATATTGCCAAGAGACATTATAAGTAAAAAATAGAATCTTCCCTAGTGGGAGCCTGTATATTTCCCCTCAATAACTTCTACCCAACAAAGCTCTAAAATGGTATGTTTGCATTTCCCCCACTGCTTTGTTCTCTAGAATTTACAGAGTACAGTTAGCAAAAAGATTGCTTAGAAGACCCATTATATCCACAGAGGATTACTGGTGCCATTTTTCATACAGTTACACAAAGTCATATTATTTCTTATTCTTACCCATAACCTGTGAAAGCCCGAAAATAAGCACACTATCATCTATATTCGCAACTACAGGTGTAGTTTACTTTGTGCAGCAGAAGCAGGTAAATCCAATTTTGGTAAATCACAGGATATATAGAATACATTGAGGGAACTGACAAAATAAATTAATCCTACTATGAAATTTTTTACCAAAGTGAACAATTATCCCCTAATTTATATACTTCACAAATCCATATTGTCATATATCAGATTTGCTTAAGGTGAATTATATGCCTCCTCCTGAAAAACAGTTATCACACAGAGATATTTTCTGTTTAAAATTAATTGGCCCTCCAAAACAAATTGCCTGTCAACCTTAGGGGAAAAAACTTTGTACAAGCCCGTGCATAAATTGGAAAAGATATACCTTAGAAAACAGTCTGTGTCTTTATGGTGGGTTTATGTGTTTCTCTGCTCCATTCTAGTAGTTCCCTGAATGCCAAGTGGCTTGGACTGCATTTACTTCCTGTGCGATGTGATGCAGATTTTCCAAGGGTCCTCTCTGATCAAATGACTTCAGCTCTGATTCTTAGTGAAACCTGCATCCTTCCAAGTTTGTTTATGGCAGGAGGGAGGTAGGTAACCTTACTGCATCATGGAGGATATCAGTTAAAGAAAAGGGAGAATTTCCTGATGGTGGACAGTGGATAATTAAAACCTGGACTATGTTATTAAAGAAAGTTCTGGAATTCTTCTCCAGAGAGCATTAAGAAAGAATAAATTCTTCTTATACATGAAGTATGTTCTAAAGGTTGCTTCTTGTCCTGTGATTATTTTATTTTGAACAACTAGTGTTTTCAAGATTTATTTCTAGGGTATCTCACAGATGGAACAATATTGAACACTATAGAGAATTGGTTGCCCTATGATATCACAAATTAACTCTTGCATTCAACAACCATTTATTGAGTTCTGCTGTAATAATAGGAGCTGCTGTATGGGGGGGTATATCAGTCACAATGCTAAGAATATTATTACATTTCAGCCTTATAACAATCCTGTGATAAGTACTTTTATCCTGTTTTTACTGCTGAGAACACCAAATCTTAAAGTAAAGTGAAAGCAGGATTCATACGTAATTCTGGTTGGCTCAAGTTCGTTATATGAACCACAGTTACTTTGGTCCTTCTCTACTTTGTGCATAGCTCCATAACTTTAAAAATAAAAGGCAATCTCTGGTCTCCAGAGGCTTCCATTCAGGAGGAAGAGATAGGCGAGTGACATGACAATGGTAATGTGGTATGAGAGTGCTCAAATAAGGTACAGATCTTGCTGGATGCCTGTCATGGGTGCACAGGGAGGAGATGCCTAATCCAAACTTGCAAGGAGATAGGGTTACTTAGGAAGGACTTTCTTGAAGGAGGAGATCTTTAAGCTTAATATGAGTTCTTCAGGAAATTGTTGACTGTTGATGAGTTCTTCTTGATGAGTATGTTAGTGCCTGGCTTTGACTTGTTCCTAGATTCCTATTTTTTTATTTGTAGTTTGTTATTGTTTTAGTGTTCACCCACTAATAACTTTATCATCATACTGCTTATAGGTCTTACACTGGAACTGGACAAATTGCTTAAACAAAGCAATTGGAAACTGACTTAATAATATGCTAATAAGTGTTATGAAGGTAAACTAGACAGTGCTGGAAGAGTGAATGATCTGGATGCCTTATGTAATTTGGGGAAGGCAGCAGGAGTATAGCAGTGATTCGAATCCCTGAGAAAATGACATTAAAACTAAGGGCTCAAAGCTGAGTAAGAAGTAGGCGTGAGAAGGAGGTCATGGAGGAGAAGTGGATTAAAAAGCATTTCGGGCAAAGAAACAGCATGTGCAAAGACCCTAAGGCCAGAAGGAACGTGAATAGTTTGATAAACCTAAATTAGGCCAGGTGGCTGGATAATATCAAAATCATGCGAGTGGGATAGATAATGCATGATTTCTAAGTGTGCTGTTATAAGCTTTCTGAACTCGAACATGACTTAGGGATATATTTAAATTAAAACCTTAAAACATCGTATTCAAAATCCTCCTAGGACCATTAATTCATATTTACAACTTTAGATATCAGTTTTTATTTTCTTCTTGCTTGTGAAAATAAAATGTTAAATGACATCGCTTTTTCACAAAAAGAATGACCTGCGTGGCTTGGTTGAATTTGGAATAAAAGTTTATTTAAATACAAGCAAGACTTGAGTCGTGAAATATTCTAGCAAAGAATAAGTATCATCAATACAATGTTGAAATATCAACTCTCAATAATAAAAAGATTGATATATAATATAGTTTTCTAGATCACTTAGAAGGCACCATGTTATTTCAGAGAAGTGCTGATAGCTGAATTTCATGCTCATCATACTTACGCAGGTTTTCAAAGCAAAAAGCAAGGGTTTGATGTTATTTTAAGTTTTTCCTGGTGGTCCTGATCTTTCCCAGTAATGGACATCAAGAAGGATGCTCAAAAATGTGTATCATAAGTACTTTCTTTCAGACTAGCTTACTCAGTATAAATGAAATATTGATGTATTTGAAAATGCCCAAGTGTTGAATAAAGTTTTAAATAAAGCTACCTAAAAGTTGTGGTTCTTAGGTTAATCATTTATTTATCTAAAGGATGAAGAAAGCTGTCTACTTCTGTGATATGAACTGCGATCAACTTAAAAGTAATTGACAAATTAATCCCTTCACAGCACAGCAATTGTAAAGGTGTTCGTTTTAATTAGGCCTGTCTGATTGCCTTGTCTAATCAAGAATCAAGGTGGTATCTTTGATAGTTAAGGTCTGTTGGGGCCATCCCTGACCTGCTAGCCATGTATGTTTTAATTATTGATTCCTCACATTTCAGCCTTCTTCACAAAGGGACTTGAAGTTTGCAATACCTTAACATTTTAGAGGGAAGAAAAATAAACATCTTCCCCAGCACCTCCATCTAGAATCCTGTGTATCCTCTTCCCCATTCTACAATTTTTGTCCTAAAAAGGCTGCCAGATTGATGACAACATCAAAAGCACATTAGAATGCTATCTTACAGCTTCCTTACCTCCCAAGTGCTAGATTTTCAACACATATTGTTAAGATCTTAACAAGTCACAGCCATTTATGTTTCTAGAATCACATCTGATTTCTTGATATCATGTGTTTTAAAAAATCCCTAAGGGCAAATGTATTACTGGGAGATTAGAGAGGTCAGATGAAAAGGGACACATATCTGTCTTCTCATAAAACCCTTATACTGCTAAGAAGGAACAGGGCAAGGGCTCTTCATGCCGCCGTAAGCGGGCCACAGCATGCCAGTGAACATGGGCAGCTGCAGGGTGCTGGTGGTCCCTGTGCGTAATGGTGGCTCTTCTTTGCTTACAGGTCAATGAAGTGACAGTGGAGCAGCTGGTGCAGCAGTACCCCCACATCACCTTCAGCACTGTTCTGCAGGACTGCAAGAGGACCTTGGAGAGAGCCTATCAAATGGGCTGGACCCCCAACATGTCCGCTGCCTCCTCCTAACGCTCCTGCCCGTGTGTAATCACTCAGACCATTCAGCGGGTTAGAGGAGAATTGTACATTTGGGATGGGCAATATCTTGGAAAGGTTTTAGCTGTCACCCATCTGCGTATGTACTGGAATATATATATTTGTGTCTCGTTTGCGTACTGTGTACCATAAGTGGAGTTGTCATTTGTTCCCAGGTGAGCTGGCTTTTTTTCCCCTAAAGATTATGAAAGCCACAGACCTTTTAGTTTTTAAGTTCAAAAGCTTATTTTTCAAAAATATTTCAAATATGGGGTCAAAAAATCAGATGCATTATTTGAGCTTCTAATTGCTGCCTCTTGGAGATGTCCAAAAAAGAAGGCCTTCTTTTTTTCATGGGATAGAATTGTGCGCTTCTACTGGTGACAACCAGAACAGAAGTGATATTGCACTGATTAGAAGCCTGGAAACCAGTCCTTTTCAAAATGCCAAGTACACACACAAATAGAGGCACTCCCACTCTCATGTACTTGCATACGTGTATGCACACATACACCAGGACAGTGTCTTTCTAGATCACTTCCTGACAGAGGGGCCTACCTCCAGGCCACTGAGGGAACATGTCATCTACTCTGGCCCTGCCTAACTCGGTGTATCCATGGGTGGCCAAATTGCTATCTGGTGGGTAACTTAGGGACTAGAAAGAATAAAGCCTTTCGTAAATTTTTTATATGGAGGCAACAATCTGAACTCCCCTGGCCAGCTCACAAAAGTTAATTATTCATTATTCTACAAATGCATTCTGTTGAGTACTAAATATTTTAGTTGGTTTTACATTAACATTGTGTTAGCTTTTATTTTGCAGATAGTAACTGGTCGGGATATATTTTAATGATATTTGAAGCTAATCTGAACATTGAAGCCACCAATGTAATTAATGGTGTGCAGTTATTTAAAAAAAAACTACAGATCATTTCATTATTTTCTTAATTTTGGTAATTATGAAAATCTATTTCTAAAATTTGGAGGTAGTCACATTAATAGAAGATTAATGAGTGAGATATAAGTAGACAATCTTTCTACTGAATTTTTGTTTCTTTTGCTTTGAGTTTTTGAACAGGTTTTTTGGATATATGCATGTTATCATTTTTTGAATAGTTCTTATGCTACTGCAAAGATATCTATTGCTAGCTGATATATGAGTTAAGAAGGGAAATTAGAAAATCTGTTCATTAAGATTCTGTTTACACTTGTCAGATATACACATTTCTTTGTTTAATTAAACGCTGCCAGCTTCAGTTAAGAAAATACCTATCAGTAAATGAATATATGTTTTAACACATCTTAACAATTAATTCATAATGGGGACTCAGGCTCAAATAACCTTTCCTGTGTCTGTTTTTATAATCAAGGCATCAGGGAGCCTTTTTAAGCTAAAGTGTGATTCTCTTTCACTGTAGAATTAGAAATAAACCCCAACTTGTGAATTTGCTATTTATTCTTCCCTGAGTGGACATAACTGTTATTTGGTCTTCAACAGATATACTGAGGTTTGAGTTTCACTTTCTGTAAATCCTAATGTCACTAACATGATGCTAGCTGTAAGAAACAAAAGATAGGTTTACAGCTGAATGCCATTCACTTATTTATAATGATTTCTTTTTTGTAAACACCTTTTTTCTTTGATTATGTCAACATGTTTCTGATGTGGCATTTTTGTTTTTAATCCCAATCAGTTAGGAAAATCTAATCAGTAAGCACCAAGAGTATTTTTCCTATAATTAAATGGGCTTCTAATTTAATTTAAAGGGAATAAAATTTGTGTAAGGAAAGAGCTGATTTACATTAATAAACTATATTTCTTCTTACACATTGAACTGTATCATTTTCATATCTACTTCTCCACCACCGAAAAATCTTATTTCATAATATTTTAACTGATTTTTAATCCAAAACTAATTTATAAGACAGTATGTATAGTAATAGTAGCTTGAGTGAATAAGCAAAAGTTTAATTTTTATATGTCATACTATATTTTAAATAGTTAAAAAAGACAAAAGAAAGGAGAGCCATCTATGATATAGATGGTACCATTTCAGTTCAAACTTGTAATAATCTTTGGAGTGTTACAATTTGGTTGTCAAATGGTTTCAGAGTGTATAATTGACTTTTTTAATGTTGCAGTGTTTGAATCTAAAGTACAGCACTATAACATGCTTAATCCTGGGGGGTGGGGTGGGGTGGGGACTTGCACTTATTCTCTAAGATGTTGACTAATCCAGAAAGCCTGATGCAACATAACCTGGAAAACTGCTTTGGTACATTTGTAGAAATCTATGGAAATGTCATATCCAGCCTCAAAGCATTAATCTCAAAAAACAGCCAGAAAAAGCATCACCTTGAGTGATTCTGTGATGGTTGTTGAATGTGTTCATTAGATGCTTTGAAATGAGGCTTAAAATAATCTTTCTGGGCAATATAGAGTTTCTTTTTTTGCTTAGAATGTCATAAATACATGTGAACACATTTAATGCAGGGCTTTTCATCCTCTCCAAAATGTCAACAGTATTTTCAGAATAAAGACTATGAAATATATTGCTGTAGTGGAAAATTCTGGTCCTTTGTCTTTAATGTCTTTTTGAGTGGATAAAGAGCATTCACCCAGTTTGTAGTTTCTATATTTCTGTGAATCTTTGACCTTGCAATGGGTTGCAATAAAAGAGAAACAAAACACTGTGTCTTTTGTTTTCTTTTAGAGACAATAATTGGCCTCCCTAATGCTGGTTGGATATGATGCATGCAGCGGTCTGTGTCCTTGTGTGCTCCACTACAGACTTATTGTAGGTGTGACTCGCCCAGAATAAAAACAAGACTGGATTTAGAAGGTTCTATTTGGGCTGGTGATTACTGAGATCAGATTAAAATCTCAAGGGTTTAAACAAACGCGTTGTTTAAAATCCTCCTCCCTGAATAGTCATCATTTACATAGCCATTTATTCACTTTTTTCTAAAGTAAATAAATAAACAAAACATTTATTGAGTAACAAATCTGTGTCAGGCACTGGGGACTTGATAAATGAAACTCATTCCCATTGTCAAGTTGCTCATAGCTTAACAAGGAGACATTCTGGGAAATTAGCAATAACAGTGGAGTACAATAGATGTCATAGTGTAATAATAATTATGATATAATGTAATAATAATTATAGGGAGTGCATCGAGGATAAAGTAGCAGCCTTAGAAAGGGAGAGCTTCGCAAAGGTGGAGCTATTAATGAGAACAGAGGAATAGCAGGAATTCACCAAACTTGCTACAAGGAAATAAGAGAAGACATCCTGGAAATTTGAAAGATATGTGCAAAGCCATGTGGGCATGAGACAGCATGGAAAGTTCAGAGCCCTTGAGTAACTGAGTATAATAGAAAGGTATATTATGTAGGGGCAGCAGATGAAAAAGCTTCCAGGATAAAAACAAGGTCAGTCATAAACTTCTCATGGCCTACTAAAGAGATTCGACTTGTAGGAGAACTCTTACCCTAAATCTTTTTTTAGGGGGGCGGGGGAAGGGTCTCACTCTCAGCAACTACCAAGAACAAAGTGGTACTATCTTGGCTCTCTACAACCTCGACTTCTGAGCTCAAATGATCCTCCTGCCCCGGCCTCCCAGGTAGCTAGAGTTACAGGTGCGTACCACCATACCCAATTAATTTTTTAATTTTTATAGTAATAGGATCTTGCTATGTCACCCAGACTGGTCTTGAATTCCTGGCCTCAAGTGATCCTCCCGCCTTGGCTTCCCAAAATGCTAGGATTGCAGGCATGAGCCACCACACCCAGCCCTCTAAAGTCTTTCAACATGTTGGAATTTAAGCACAGAACTCCCATTTCTGGTAATATGATGGAATGGAGATGTTCTTCTATATAACATTTAAGGATTTTCTGCTATATAACATTTAAGGTGTTCATTAAAATAATTTTGAAAAACCCTTTTAAATGCCTGGATGTCCCTGCAAAGACAATGCAAACAGCAGTCCAGAACAAGGGTCAGCAAAGTATGGCCTCTGGGTCAAACATAGCCAGATGCTTATTTTGGGAAATCAGGTTTTACTGAGACGTAATCATACCCATTTATTTGTTATTCTCTATAGCTGCTTTCATGCTACAAAAGCAAAGTTGAGTGGTTGCCACAAAAGACCAGGTGGTCCACAAAGTCAAAAATAATTACTATCTGGCCTTTCAGAAAATTTGCCAACCACCCTCATTCAGAGGAGTAGTTCTCAAAGTGTGGCCCCCAGGTCAATCACATCAGCATAACCTGGAAACTTAGAGATACAAATTCCTGGGCCCCACCCTAAACCTATTACCAGAAACTCAGGGAGTAAGGCCTAGCAGTTTGTGTCTTAGCAAATCCTCTACGTGATTCTGATACATGTGTTAAACGTTTATCTCTATAGAGGTATTATCATAGGAGACAGTTCTTCATAGAAACAACCAGAATAGGGGAGACTATGTGGATGACTATGGCCTCCAGAATGTGTAGAAAATTTTGGACCAGTGAGTAACTGGGAGTCAGATCAGAGTCTACCTTATATAAGGCCTGGATCCCAGAAAGGATATATGCCCTTTTGAAAAGCAGTGAACTAAAATAAAACAAAAAATTGAAGAGACAAATAGTAAGGAAAGTAACCATTCTCGGCTTTGACTATTCATATTTTTGAAAGGCTTAGCTGCAAATTAACAGCCACTGGTTAACATTCGCATGGGCTTCGTGACTGATCACACTATTTGCATAGTTTATGTTGCTGGTAATTGTATTTTTAAGAGCACTCGTGGCAGTAGTGCTCAGTGTCTGATAAATGCAAACCCTGGAGAAAGGTACCCTCAATGCAAGACTTAAAAGCCCACACAGAGCTCCATCAGATAAACTCACAATCTAAAACCACAGAGAAGAAAAAGGAGATAACTCAGCATTAGTAGTATACATCAGTAGAAACAACAAACAATAGACACACATCCAAAAGACTTCAGTATTAAATTATCAGATACATACTACAAAATAAATGTTCTATATAAAAAATCATTTAATATGTTTAAGAAAAAAATTATCAAAATGAACAAACACTTTTAAAAACCTAAATGAACAGTATATAATTTTAAAAGATAAGACAAGTGTGTACTGTTACTGCTACTTCTATTTAACATGATAGTTGAAAAACTAAGCCAGTGCAAAAAAAAAAAAAAAAATGTAAAAATGGTAAGGACTAGGATGGAAGAAACAAACTCTGAACTATGACAGGAATATGGACATATTAGACATAGACATAGCAACCAAAAACCCCAAAGAACTTACAAATTAGAACTAATAAGAGTTTAAAAGTAAGTTGGGTATCATGTAAAAATATCATACATATCTATATACCGATGTTGAAGTAGCAAAATGTAATTTTGAAAGTACATTTTACAAAAGGAACACATACACAAAGTACTATTAGTTTTATGGGTAGATTACAAAAGTGTATTGAAAGACAAAAAAATGTAGAGAGCTAACATTCATGGAAAGGAAGACAATATTCTCCCAATGTTGTATTGGGAGACAGTTCTCCATAACCTTCTAGCACTTCTGCATGTCTTTCAAGCAGTGGTACTTGCTGCCTTTGCTCTGGGTTATCTTTCCAAAGATTTTTTTATAGTGCATAACCTTTGAAGACAGAGATTGTCTGCCCTTCCTCTAGAAGGAGAGACTTGCTTACTCTTCAGGATTCCGTATTTATGTTTCCTTAGCCCAATGTTCCTCTCCAGTACCACAACCCAATGTGTATACAGTTGTCACCACCCTCTTCTTATTTTCCTGTGGGAATTGAGGCTTCAGAACATGTACAAGAAAATGCTGATAGATACTCCAGCCATTGCTGTAGGTGTTAAAAACCTTTGCCTCTGACTCAGGAGTTTTGTGCCTTCAGCCAGCATCTCTGAAACTGTCAGGCTGACGAGTGAGTTTGCAAGTAGAGTAAAATCTCAAACCTCTCACAGTTCTTAGCATGATAATTTCCCCCTAATTGACCTATTAATATGTCATTTCAAACAAATTCCTAATGAAGTTTAAAAAAAATAAAATTCAGCAAGCTTATTGTTAAATTCATGTAGAAGAATAAAAGGTAAGGAATAGTCAGATCATACCTAAGGAACAAGGTGGCAGAATTTTTCCTATCAGATAATAAGATTTATTCTAAAACTATTATTAATAACTGATAATAATTAAGACAATGTGGCGAGGACTTGGCGATAGATAAAAACCAATGGAATCAATGAGACAGCTCCCAAGTGCACATAAACAGTATATTAGAGAGGTGGCAGTGCAGCCTAGCAGAGAAAGGATGAAATACTCTAAAATGGGGCTGGTTAAATTGATTATCCCTGTGGGAAACAAATGGAACTTGGATTGCTACATTTTACTATACACAAAAATTTATTACTGATGAACTAAAATATAAAAGGCAAAAATCTTAATATTCATAGACAACATCTTTATGATATTATGGTTATTAGGATATCTTTATGATATTATGTAATTATGATCTCGGGATAAAGACAAAACAATGCTTACCATTAAGGCAAAGATTGACAAATATGTCCATATTAAAACAAAAGACTTCTCCTGAGAAGTCACCTTGAAGAGACTTAAAAGGCAAATCACTAGCTAGAAGAAAATATGTGTAACACAAAAAGATCTTCAAATCAATTAAACAATTTCCTCCTTCAAAGAAAATACAGTAGAAAAATGGACAAAAGACATAAATAGACACTTCCCCAAAGAGGAAACACAGATGGCTAAAGAATTACATGAAAAATGCTTAAACGTATTTGTGTTTAGATAAATGCAAACTAAAAGATGTAAAGTATGTGCCCAATAAGTTGACAAAAAGTAAAAATCTTGTACGATTAAGTGTTGGCAAAGACGTAGAGCAATGAGAACACTTACACACTTGCTGGTGGAAGCTGGAAGAGTTTGTCTTTTTCTTTAAAAGATAGACATGCACATACAGCAATTCCCTTCATAGGTGTATGCCCCGCAAACTTTTTACACATGTGAACCAGGAGACATGTACCAAAATATTCATAATAATACTGATCACAACAGCAAAAACAATTTTTTAGGTATTTCACTCAATGAAACAGTAGTAAAAATGAATTATAGCAACGTATCTCAATCTGAATGACTCTTACAGACATTTGAATGAAAAAAGCAAGTCCTATAAAAAATGTGTAAAAAGTTGTACACCATTTTATAAAATTCAAAAACAAGCACGATTAAATAATCTGTTACTTAGGGATACAGTGAATTTAGAGAAAGAGGAAAAAGAAAAAGGAAACAATTGCAAAATTTCAGACCAGTGGTTACCTATGGGAGGGCAGGCAGTGGGCTGGGATTGTACTACCACAAAAAGGCTTTCAACCAAGTCTGTGGATTTATCTCATAAATTGAAAGATAGCTTCCCTAGTATTTGTTTTATTAATATAAAATGTTTTTAAGTAACATTTCATTACATATAACATATTTATATGTATCAAACTTTTGCACCAAATATTAAAAATTTAAATGAAAAAAGTTTTGTATCTAATTTAAATTGATTGACTGGATATCAAGAATTGCTAAGCCTAGGTCCAAGTTTGCCCATTTAGTAGTGGAGGTTAGCGCGCCATGAATCAAAGCTTACACAATTCCATATCCAAGCA